AGATTGTGCAAAAAACTATAATGGCGACATGTTTCGGATTATTGGTAAAGCCCGATCGTCGTTCCACCTAGCAGTTTTAGAATCTATCTACATAAGCACGAAAAAACCGCTACTATGTAGACAAAAGGAGTTCGTTTTCACCTTAGGACTCCACTGGTAACATTCTAATAGGCAAGCGGCACTGATTGGTCAACCTATACAATCATGTGCTCATGTTTCTGATTGGCCTATTTCGATCCACAACTGGGTATATATATTTCTTAGCGTAGAGTTTTCGATCTATGTTCTGACGTTTTAAACTCTGAAGAGTGTCAGACGAAAAGCTTTAGTTTACTAAATGTTTGCTTTTTCAAAGCCAACAAAAGATTGTTTGCTTCTTAATGTGAAAACCAGCTATTGTGTCATGACGTACGAGTTTTTTAATATCTTGTTTTTTAAAGAGAATCTAAGCACGGGGTTACATTTGCTAAAGAGAAAACAAATACTAAAAGTTTATTTTCTAGGAACGCAAAAAGTAGCATGGAAGAACCTGAAATAGACGAAGCTGGTATTTCACAAGGAAATTTTTTTCCCTAATAATCTGTTATGTGAGCCTCTGGTACCGAAAAATTTGAAAATAGCACGGAAAACAGAAACATGTCAATCTCTGTCAATTAAATATGGTATCTAATCGACGATATTTAATCATTTCTACCTAATCTTTAAAAGACGGATTTTCGAGCAGTTTCTTAAGGTTGTGGGATCACCTCAGGGATCTGTTACCTATATACAATTTTTTATTAAAAAACGAGTTGAGTCAAACAGGTAAGTCTCAACGCAAATCGAGAAAGAAATATGGTGCAGCAAAACAAGGTGCAGTGAAAGCCCACATGCTAACTTTTCAAAGTTATGTACCGAAACGTAAGAAATTTGTTGAGCCTGAAGAAGAGAGCGAGATATTGCGTTTATCCAATGACGATGAGGTATTTTGTTCAAGCGAAAAATTGCATGTGATCAAATTACGAGAGGTTCAAAACTGCTTTCTTATTGTCCCACCAAAAACAGAACAAGTCAACTATTGACGGTGTTTACAAAAGATCTTGGTCGCGAGCTGTGTATAATAGAGAAGAGGAGAGTGCGCTCTGCTCTATTTTACACGGCTCGCGACCAATATGGGTGTCTTTCCTTGAATGTTCTCAGTTTAAAGTTTTTAATTCCGTTTTTGGATGACTGATTCGCGAAGACTGATTCCATTTTCGAGTCAAGTCTCCAGTTATGAGTAGAAATCGGTGAGCTCAATTTCCATAAATGTAGGCATAACTTTGTTGTGTGCCGCAAATGAGTCAATCCATTGTGTCCCGCAAATGATGGGATAGAGGACGGGGAACATTCCTGCTGTTCTGTCAGTCTTATAACGGTCCAAAATCTGATCTTCTCAATATTGTCAACACAATACTGATACCTCCTGGTTTTCTTTCTCTTTCAAATGAATCTTTACTCGAGATCATTTTGCATGGCGACGAAAAGTTAAAGACGGACATGAATGAGAGGCTGGACTCAACATGCCCAACAAATGATGGCGTTGAGGACACGGAGCACTGTTTTCTGCTCTGCCATATTTATCATGTAAAATAGACGTGATCTTCTCAGCAGTGTGCATGAGAAATTGTTGCCTCATGGTTTGTTGAATCTTTCAAATAAAGAGATGATAAAAGTCATCCCTTATGGCCATGAACAGCTACCATTTGATCTAAATGCAAAAGTCCTTACGGCAACACTGGAATAATGCAGGAGCAAAAATCTTTAAATCTCCTCTCTGTTAATTTTGAGTTTGTTTATTTATAAAAACGTTTTTAATATTGTAATCTACGTATATGTCTAGTGCTAGGAGGTAGTCCTGATATATTGCTCTTTCTGGCTACCTTTTAATGTAGTATAGTTATATTAGTTTTCGTTCGATATAGTTTTAGGTTATTTGCCGGGTAACTTTTTATATTTTTTTACGGTTATTAAGCATATTTAGTTGGACGTTTAGTTATTTGGACATTTAATGGACGTTTATTTAGATTTAGAACGTTTTAAGAGCCTGGGCTCGATTAGCGAGTCTTAGGGGACTGGGTTCGAGTATCGACCGACACTTGCCGCATACGAAAATGGAAAATACACAAAACCGAAAATGGCGGTCGTGAGATTTCGTAAGTGAGAAAATCGCAGTCAGATTCCGAAAAACTTTTAATTTGTTAGGTAACTTTTTATATCAAATATAAAAAAAATAAGAGAGTAACTTTTTATAAGTTTGATTTGTTAGGTATCTTTTTATTTCGAATATAAAATTTTTTTTAGCACATTAGCACATACATTTCATATTTCCCATCTGTATTTAGCTAGTGAAATTGCGTATTGGTCATGGAGTAGTCACTGTCTTCTGCTTTCGGAGGTAAAATTCCTGCCAAAAGTCTTGGAACACTGGCATCAATTTCCAAGGTCAAAATCAATCATCCCCCTCTCCCCTACAGAACAATGTTGGTTTACAATCAAACGGGTTAGCATTTTAGGAAGCACTTTCTTTTGCGCTTCTTTTATGATATTTCTCCAAATCATCAACAGCAAGTAGCAATTTTTTTTCATGAAAAGAATGAAAGATATCAAATGCAGCGTAAATTGCTGGGTGTTCCAAGTACTTTTGGCAGGCATTGTAGCGTTCCTGTTTTTCTGCGTAGCAGCCTAAAAATATTCTGTATTTCTGTAGAGTAATATTCATCTGTTTGAAAAAATCGCATTGTAAAATCTCATTATTTTCTGTCATAATGTACAAGTGCCATTACTTTTCAGGCTAGTCCTGATATTTTCTTAATCTTCTTTAAAAATCATTTTTCTAAGAAACAGCCTTTTTCACAATTTTATTCCTTTTATGGGAAACTGTTCAGCATCGTTTGAATTAATGAATTTCTTATATGTGGCCTTGCTACTGTAACAAGTAAGATTATATGCAGGGATTTAGTTTCTCAGAGGATTTAGAGGGCTTGATAGGTCTGGATAAAGTAGATAGGTTTCTTTGAAGCATTCAATAAGAAATGAAAGATTTCTTTTTAAGAGGCTCTAGCTTATTATCTAGTTTGGAAGATTTACGCTCCAAAATGAGTTTAAGACAGATCATGGATGTCAGATAAGGCAATTTTTCCCTATAAGCATATATTTAGTTTTTCATATCATTGCAGATTAGGTATTAATAGGGTATTTCTTGAGCTTTTCAAAACCTTGTTTGGAAGTTTACTAATAGGAACCACAGAAAAGCTGGTCTTGGTGCTTGCCATTGCAAAACATTAAGACGAGTTTTAAAAAACTCAATCACCGTAACACCTCGATTAAGCGCCCCACCCTCGAATCGAATAAGCGCCCTCTCCAACAAGTGGCCCCTCAACTGACCACATTACATAACAGCCCCAACTCGAAATAGTGCCCCCTTGTATACTGACTACATTAAATTCTATCTTGCTTTTACTGACTTTGTTTGGCTTATTAATCTCACTTTGTTTATCTTGCTTTGATTTTCGTCATTTTATAAGAAAGATAGGTCTAAATTGAGTATGACAGTTTCATAACGCTGATAATTAATTTATGTTTCATCCATGTGAAAGGCAATACGCTCAGGCCTCAGAGGAGGAAAGAGATTTGAGCATGATCATGGCCTATCCGCAGAGACCTCTTTGTCCCGACCTGCATCACATTAATAATTCTCTTTTTTCTTACAACTGACAAACCGCCCTTGGCTCTTAAAAACCGAGCCTCTGAAATCTCCAATAGGACATGTAATGTATTTTCATCATATGACATTTACTGAGCAAGGGCCAATGATATTTTAGGAATCGTCATATCATCTGGCAGACAACGTGTCAGTCTTAAACAGTAAAAGGGAAGACTTACACCCCTATCTCAAAGAATTCGCAGATGCTGATTTAATCTGGACCAAAGTATGAGAAAAATGAGACCTAACTTGTGACAATAAATATTCGTGTTCTATTCTGCACAAGGCAGATCACAATATGATAGACCAGAGTCCAGAAAAGTTGTTAAACTTCTTCCAGGCAAAAGAATCCCAGAAGGCAAACCTACCTAACAAAACAATAGAAAGTGGACGTGGCTTTGGTGTGTCATAGGAGCTTCTATTGCTTTTTGTGGACCTTCCACCGACCTTCGGTCAGTGGCCGTGCAACAGTAATGTTTTCTTGACTCTGAATAAGACTCGACCTCTTCCTGCACAATTACGATAAGGTAACCACTGAACCACAGATTAAGAAATAGGTAGCCTGCATGCAGACCCCATTCCCCTGCGGGCAGAGCCCAGTAAATTTTTCGATAGGGTCTGCAGCTGCACTCTTGCTAGAAATAGGCAGAAGGGTAACTCTCGTTCATAGCTTCCTATTCCCCTTTGACCTCGATTCCATCAGACGAACTTAGCCATGGCAAATTATCATTCATTAATCAGATAGTATACAAATTACGACACAAGTACCATAATGCATTGCGCTCCAAGCGAATAAGGAAAACGGCGAATTGAATTAGTTACTTTAATGGGTTATTTCGTCTCAATAAATTTGTCCACTTTCCTTTTTTTAAATTTCCGCGAAAGATACATTCTAGGCCACGTATACGTTAACGCATGCGCTTGAATTTTCAGGCTTCACCTGATGGGCAGGAGTTCCCCTTCTGCATAATTCCTATTCTGTGATTGAAGTAGCGATTCAATTCAACTAGGTCTTGTTGGACTGGATTTGGAAATTTCTTAATGATGTTTATCATACTTATTTTGTCCGACCGGAATGTCTATACCAGCAATTACAATTTTTTTCATCCTCGACAAGTTGTCAATTAGAAATAGAAGAAGCCGTCTTACTGGTTATCTCTAAGGTTATTTTCTTGGTCAATGTCACTTTTCCCCGCTCCGTCCTCCCCCCCTCCCCCCACTTCTGTATGAATGAAGCCTAAATCATCCATTGATATAGCGCCATTTTATTTTGCAGTCTCTTTTTCGATCAAATCGCTCGACAGTCACAGGGTACTTCTTGGCGGGAAGATTCATGACGTTTCTTCCGGTAAGTGATTTTCATTTTCAAGTAAATATTTCATGTCTCCTAATTTTGTTATATATATAATATGCCATGTATCTTGTTGTCATGTATATATTGTCTTACGCCAATGTGTACACTCATTTTTTTATAAGAAACAAAGGTCGATGTTGAGTACTCCAGTTTCTTAACGTTCTAAAAATGCGAATATTCATTGTTTCTTAAGAGTTTCTTAGGCTATGTTCACATTGCTTCGTATTAATTTTTATTCATTTTACCTGTTCACACTGCTCCGGATACATTTGAAAACGGTATGAAAACGATGAAGCGTTCACATTGCTCCGCTCTGGATAAAAAAGGAAAACGCCACGAACTGGTTTACAGCACTTTCCACTTTTCAAACAGCTCACTGCCACTAATATTCTTCCGAGTAGTATGCTAACTTCGAGTGAATCAGCCATGTTAAGAAGAGTTGTTCAAATTGGCGCGGTCTAAGTATCTTGCTGTGTTGTTGTTGTTGTTAGCGTTTTCAAAAATATCCGTTTTCGGTGTTCACACTGCGTTTTTGCGTTTTCACAAGCCTCCGTTTTCAAAAGTCTCCGTCTTCAAAGTGCGTTTTCAAAAGTCTTCGTTTTCAAGGTGGAGCAGTGTGAACGCAAGGCAAAAAGAAAAAGGAGCAGTGTGAACGGGGTCTTAATTATGATCTCATAAATGATGTTATGGAATGTTCATGACCTTTTTTATCACGTCAAGAGATTCGCTTCCGTTCTGATGCTATATTTAGATGTGGCAAGTATATTTTTATCCCTCTTGTTTTAGTTCTAGGCCGGCAGGGCAATAATGTTCTTGGATTTTACAAAATTTCGTTGTTCTTAGTTTTATCACGATTTCATAGTTTCTTATTTCTTTTGCTTTGAGTACTGAAGTTTCTTAGTTTTTTCTGACTGTCCAGTACTCGTTTCTTATAGCCAGTTTCTTATAAAAAAATGAGTGTAGTTTCCGTTATCATGATTAATCGCTGTTGGTTGACGCCTGTAGTTATATCACAGATAAATATCTATTCTGTGGTTATATTCAGTGTGTTTTGTAAGAATAAATCAGTCTTTTCTTGAATCTGAATCTGATTGAAATACGTTGTTCTATTAGTAACGCTTTAGGGCCTAAACACGCCAGTCTCTCCACGCTAGCAAAGAACCCAGAACGTTACATATTACCCGATAGAATGAATATGCGCTTTGTAGAATTGCAAATTAATGATGACAACTTTAAAGCACTATTAAAATTATTTAATCTTTACCATGTAATTTGAAAGAAGAGCATAAAATATGGGTAAATGTGCGAAATCAGCTATATCTTTTACGGATACCTTTTTATATGTATTTCAGGAAATGATCATAAAGTATCTACTTCACGGAGATGGACGATTTTCGAGAAATTTAGGGAAATAGATAATGGCCCGTCCTAGATTCCTGTATTATCTTTGTGGACCAATAGCAACATCGGGATATTTTTCAAGACCTCATAAAACACTTGGTTTTCAGCAGTGGTGGCGCCAGGAGAGGGCTAGGGGGGCTACAGCCCCTCCGTCGGAAGCATCTAGCCCCCCCCCCCACCATTGGAGGAAATTTTAGATTATTATCGGAGCAAATTTGACAACATAACGTACGAAAACTGCTTATTTTAGTCATTTTAGCCCCCCTGTCGGAAGCTCCAACCCCTCTGTCGGAAGATTTCTGGCGCCACCTCTGGTTTTCAGAACGAATTACCCTGGGCATCATACCAGGTTCTATTCTCTATCAAAGGGGCATTTTGATATGGTCAATCTAAGATCGTGAATACTTTGTTGGGGATACAGTACTTTTGAGGCCCTATAAGGGGGGATGACATTATTTCATATTTCAAAGTTACCAAAGCAAAGTATTTCGAAATTATCTAATTTTCCATTCCTGCTTCCAAAATAGAGTTTTCAAGGAGGTGTCAGAACAAAATAATATGTTCAGGAGTACCCAAAGAATCCCATACTCGGGTTTGAATTCCAGGGTATCTTCTTTGACTCTGCTAACTGCCAAGAGCCCTAATAACCAGTAAATTAAGTTGTTTGATCCTATAGTCATACTGTTAATTCAAGTCATTTACTGTCTTAGGTGTATAAGATAGCAAGAAATAATGTCAAAATAAAGTTAATGCGAAGCTAAAACTAAATGAAATAAACTCCAACGATAAAAATCGTTATAAATATTAAAGATTGACTATGTTTTAAAAGAGGAGATATTTAGGTATCTTTTTTAAGCGGAACTCGTCGAGTTTGAAAAAACAGCTGGACTGGGCCAAATTCTCTTCACGGTTAAGTTCTCATGGTTTTTCATAATATTACCTTATAGTTTGATCTAATATAGTTAATTCGTCTTGTGTCAAATTCATAATCATTTTTTGCATTGATCATTGGTGCCATACTGAATTCAAAAATATGATCAGAAAAAACATTCTGACCTTATGAGAGGTTGGCTACGTGCTTCTCTCAAATATACACAAATTCGACTTACGGCCTTATTTTGGAAATTTCTCCAAACTTTATTATACGACTTTTTCAAGCTCAGATTTGGTTTTATCACCATAATTTTAGGCTGGATACAATTTTTTCATATTGTTTGTGCTTGTATTTTAGATTTAACGGAGAAACGAGGCCTTATGTTGAATTGGTGTCATGCTTCTTCTAATTTGTTCAAGACAATAAAAGCTTCGCTGGGAACATGTCTAAACTTAGATAAACGAAATCTTGCCATTTTTTCATATTTCAAAATTAACAAATAAAATATTTCAAAATTATTAAAAGGCCCATCCTGCTTCACATTAAATGGTTAAACCCTACATATTAAAACCTGTTAATTGTTTGGTTAACAGGTTCTTAAATTTTGGAATATTAAAAAAGCAAAGAAGGTTCTTAAATCCCTAGGTTCTTACATGCGGGTTTTTACTGTATCCCATGTTAGTGCGGTGTGTCATCACAAGGCGGTGTGTCAAAGATACTTAATAAACCGACAAAATTTTGCATACATTACTAGCAGGGATGTCGTCGTAAAATTTTAACAGGGAGGGGTTCTGTGAAATTTCTAAGACATGACGAGACGAGAGTTGATGTTTTTTGCGATCATTGGTCGAGAAGCCTGGAACATTGACAGTGTTTGAGGGGGCAGCTGAGATCAGAACATAGATACCATGGAAAGGGGGGAGGGAAATTTGATTGTGAATGAGAGGGCAAAATAGTTTTATTGCTCAGGGGTTTAGTGAAAGCCGCCACCATGGTTGGCGGCGAGAAAAATTTTGATATATGACATTCTAAGAATGGCCAGAAAATGCATATAAAATATTTATAGTATCGATAAGAATAAACTTTTTTGAAATTAATGACTCATTGGTTGGATTTTGAATTGATGCATTTTCTCTTGTGTTAACAAAACATAAATTTTACTTCTATAGTTGTCATACTTTGTGTATATTTTCATGCATAAAAAGTTTGCAATGCGTTTAAATCTGTCAGTTGTTCTCTTTTCCTTTCATGTTTCTGGCATCCCTAAAGTATGTATTTTCACAATTTATCTTGCCGCCAACCTTGGCCCCTCCAATTTCAAATACGGCCTCAAGAATGAACGATATCTTTTGGAGATTTTCTCCCATGTTAACACAAAACAGGACAGCTAATATCAGCTAGTCAATCCTGCAACTTAAATGGTTTATGGAACTGTTGCTAAGTGGTCTTAGATGAATTCATAATATGAAGATGTGAAACAATTAAAGTAGATAAAAACATTTTTGTTTTGCTATTTGATGTTCTTATGTCTATTGTTGTGATAATAGAAGCCAAAATTATTAGCGGTAAATTCTACATTGGTTTTTTTCCTAAACGAAAAGTATGAAATATAATCTCTTCATTTGAACGCCTCCTTTGATTGAATGCCCTTGAAAAGATTGAAAAATTCAAAAGAACAACCCAGGCATAATATGGTATCTCAACAGCTCTACAGATCAATAGTCATAATGCTGTTATCAAATAGATAATTCTCACACTACATTAAAAGAGGTGTTCAGTTATTTTGTTATTTCATATTTCATTCCGGGAACCAAAGTTATTTCATATTTCAAAGATAAAAAATCTAAATATTTATATTTTCTCCCCGAAAATCTCAGTTATTTCATTTTACAAATACCCTTTATAGGGTCCTTATAGGGTCCTTATAGGGTCTCACTGTTATTTCGAATTTTGAGCCCCCAAAGAAACACGTCCAGATTCGTGTAGATGTCAACCAGGCGTGATTTCGGAAGAGATTTTTCAAGATATTCTTCTTTGATTTCTGAACACTTTCACCAGAATCGGATTCATTCTATACATCTACATGAATCTGGTCGTGTTTCTGTGGATCTTGCCAAAACTTTATCAAAGTGAGAGCTTTGTGAGTCCTCCAGCTCAACGTGTTGCCTGAGAGTCATAATCGGCATAATTTTGCTATCATCTTGTGCCTTTGAATTCTTTTTCTTTTTTTTCCTTTTCTTTTTTCTATTAAACTTTTTCCAACTCTGGTGTTACAAGAGGGCCAATTGTTAGCATCAATGCAAAATATTCGCTAATTCAAGATATTTTAATCGCTCTACAAAATTGGCACCATTTTTTCATATCATGCAAGGGTTTTGCAGAATTTTTCATGGCCCACCCAAATATCGTCCACCCCTGTATAGCAGATACGTTATGACCGCTCCCTTACAAATTCACCCACTTGGTCACAATTCAAGAGTTCTAAAAATAGATTTTCAAGACATTATCACTTTGTCACGTGTAGGTCGTTCGTCGAATTCTCGCAATCTTGCGTTTAATAATGTCATGCATTAAAAGAAGAGCAGAGAACTCTTACGTTGACAAAGAACAATCCAAGACACTGTGAAAGTATTTTGATATACACGAAACTTTAAAGATAAGTTGAATGCTTTGAAAGGACTTAATCCGAGGCAGGATGATTGCACGCAAGACTATCGAAGTAGGGTTGAGAACAGCCACATTAATTGTGAGTAGGTAGTGATGAATGAACAGGCAGCCGCTTTTCGTTTTGAAGCTACAAAATTCAGAAGAACTCATTTAGAAATTTTGACAGTTGTTTTTTCATACAACACAGGTTGGCATGTCTCTTTTTGCAAGCAACATTGGAAGCGAGCATTTAGTGGGACTAGCTGGCTCAGGGGCAGCATCTGGTATAGGTGTTGGTGCTTTTAACTTCAACGTGAGTATTTCCTGTCTCGATTTTGAAGAATTACTAGTTTCTGAACCTTCTTTTTCCCTTCTCTGCCCTATTCCTTCTTGTTTTCCTCTTTCTTATTGTCCCCTATCCTTCCTTCCTTCCTTCCTTCCTTGTTTCCTACCTCCCTTCTTTCCTTTCTTCCTTCATTCGACTATGCATGGCCTTACCAAGTAATAAAGGAATAATTGGCACTTGAAAATTGCCTTTCTAGGGCTAATTTGAGAGAGAGGAAGGGACATGAGTATCATTTGTTCACGTCATAAAAAATGATGCAACGTGCTTTATCCGACTTTAGTACGACGTTGTAGTCTGAAATAGGAAGCAGCAATTTTTATTGTTAATTCTGGTCATAGCAAGATGAATTATTTGTTGGAAATACCCATGGTAGTCTCTTGCGTAACTGAGGTTGTAATTTTATTCATTTTCTCTTGTTGTACGCCGTTTGATACAGAAAAATTTTGGACCAAAAGAGGACTTTTGAACATTGCACCCTTTTTCACAATTTCAGAAAAAAAGTAAAACTTGTTTTTTCTTTTAGTCTTTGTTTCTTTTACAACTGTTGGGCTTCGTCTTCTTGCCAGTTTACATTGCAAGCGGGGTTTGTATTAGCTTAATTAAGCATACCTTTTATCAAAGCATTACTGTATACTATCAAGCATTCTGTCATTTTTTATGGAAATTTTTGTTTGCAACACGAGAATTTTTTAAAACATACCAAAGTCGAATAGTTATCTTTGAGGTAATTACTATTAATTCATTTTAATAAAAACAGAATTCTTTAGAATTACAGTTTGTCTTTTTTATCTGTAAGTTATAAAAGTTTAATTGTATAAACATATCATGTCGATCAGAAGATGTTTTGCAATGTGATATGTATTTCATCACTGCTGCTTCTAAGAATTCAGCTTAAGTTAAGAGCAAACATTCCTGTCCTATTTACTTTCTCTTTCTAACGGGCTTTCGTACTTTTCTTTCTAGGTTTGCACACTTCCACAATACATGCACAAACGATTTGGTGGGCAACGAATTCGAGTTCTTCTTTCTCTGCTTTCTCTTCTTCTCTACATTTTCACAAAGATCAGTGTGAGTGCTCTTATTGGCTCTTGCCTAAAATACATGTTTCTTTTAAAGTAGAAAGCCAAATAAAGGCGACTGTAAATACTAAAATTTTATGACAGTAAGACGGTCAACTTATTGGTTGTTTCAATAAAAAGAAAAACACATCGATATCGACGAGGAAGATTGAAATGAAAAAGCTGCTTTTAAATAGAAGCTCTACAATGCTCAGTTTTGGGGATTTTTCTTTTGAAATTTGCACTCGTTCTATATTAAGGAGTTGCACTTATAAAGTTGTTCTTGATCAGTCGTTTCATAAATACGAGGTACGGTTTCGTACGTTTTAGTGCTCGAGTAAAGAGAGTTGGTAATTCATGCCAAGTACTTAGATCTTTAAATTTCTTTGATTTTATTGATTATTTTTATCAATTTATATTGTATCGTTGATTCTTTGCTGCCTTTCATGCAGGTTAACATATACTCTGGCGCGTTGTTTATTCAACAGTCTGTTGGCTGGGATCTTTATGTCTCCATCTTGTTTCTTCTTGGGATGACTGCACTTTGCACTATTTCAGGTATCCAGCTTTCCTTTTCAAAGCTGCAAAACCTGATTATGCAGTTCTAGAACAAAGTTCTTATTTGATGTCAATTATTATTCATGTTTTCACCTCAGTGAAAAGTTGCTTTGTTTATCTGAACTTTCTAAAAGATCATGTCCTTTTTCTGACACTTTGGTTTTGTCCAAAAATTTATACACTGGTCGATTAGTAATTATATGAAATACTTTCTTTAGTAGAGATATGATCTAGTTCAACTGCAAAACGGTTTTATGAAATTTTTAGATGAAACCAATTTTCTTATAAGCCTCATTTTGTTCATAAACAGAATATCATGAAAAATCTTTCGGATGTCTTCTTATTCTTAAATATTTAAGTGTCTTTATACCAAAAAGTTCGACTTCCTTTTAAAAATGTCTAGAGATCTTTGTTTACTATTAATGAGGTTTAAGGAGCAATTCTTAACCATTCTTTACAATATTACAACTTCGTTTGCCCACTTAATGGCCTCTGGTTCACTGTTGTGCCTTGATTCCAGGTGGATTGGCTTCTGTCATATATCTTGACACATTCATGACATTTGTGATGGTTGGCGGTGCAACTGTGATGACCGTCATGGGTGAGTGTGCAATTAAATCTTTGTTTAAAGACCAGCGGGAAGTTCTAAATAGAGTTGTTTCTCGGTGATTGTGATGGTAAACCAGGGTTTTTAATATTCGTCCAAGGTTTGGCTTCCCTTTCTATAGTGATAGGGAAAGAGAGAAATTATCCATTCATTCATTCATTCATTCATTCATTCATTCATTCATTCATTCATTCATTCATTCATTCATTCATTCATTCATTCATTCATTCATTCATTCATTCATTCATTCATTCATTCATTCATTTATTCATTCATTCATTCATTCATTCATTCATTCATTCATTCATTCATTCATTCATTCATTCATTTATTTAGTCACTCATTAATTAATCTATTTTTTCATCATATTGCATCCATCCATTCATTCATTTATTCATTCTTGCCTTTATTTTCTTTTCCGAAATATCCAATATTTAATAAAGAATACCTTAATTATAATTTATATAATCTATACAACCCAGGATATAATTTAAAGAGAACAAGTAGCTATATATATCACTAATATATATTGCATCCACTACTTCAAGACACTGGAATTAAAATAATGCTACTGTGTAGGTTTCCAAAAGGTCGGTGGATATTCCGGATTGAGAACAAAGTACATGAATGCCATGGCGGAAGAAGTTATTGCTGGGAACTACACGTGCGGAGTGCCTCGTTCTGATTCGTTTATCATGCTTAGAAACGCAGAAAGCTCCGATCTTCCATGGCCAGGGTTTATATTTGGACAGACTCCAGCTACCATTTGGTACTGGTGTGCGGACCAGGTATCTACACTTCCTAGTCTCTTGTAGTCTCTTCCTAGTCCCAGGTATCTAGTCTCTTGACATCCTAGGGTATCATTCTCTTAACAGGCACACTTAACAGAGTACTACCAGTTTAGTGTAAATTGTTTCAAAAGAGTTTTATTGTCCTCTGCAACTATCTCAGCACTGAGGTTTGCATCAACGACTTTCGAGGTTCCAGTTCAGTCGATTGTTTTTTCAACAACTTATCCAAGAAGATGCTGTTCTTATAGTACTCTTGCTCTTACTATTCTCAATAACCTGCAATGTTTATCCCTAAATTCATAACACCGTAACAGATATTTTCGCAAAAGTAGGGTACTAAAACGAAGCCTTAGCGTTAATATATCTCAAGCATCTTTGAGGTTTTGTCGTCATTGATAGCTTTTTCAATCGCATCCGTAAATAACTTGTCAACACATCGTGTCTAAAGTTACCCAAGACTTATTTTATATTTTCACCTTATCGTGCAATGCTCCTTGCTTTTAAGGTTATCGTTCAAAGATCACTGGCTGCAAAGAGTTTGTCCCATGCACAAGGTGGCGTGCTGCTTGCATCCTACCTCAAAATATTGCCATTTTTCATCATCGTACTACCTGGGATGATCAGCAGAGTTTTGTTTCCAAGTAAGTGACTGTAAGTTACAATATATAAAAGGTTGATATGACTATTTTAACACACATAGAGGTAAAAGTGTTGGTTTGTTTTAATGTTGACTACATTCATTACATAACTTTTTTAAGTAGCAGTCAATGTTCTACTTTCCTTGGTAATTGCATACTTTATTAATGTTCACAGCTTCCATATCGTAGTATTGAATATCTTCCTAAACTGATCTTTCTCGACGAGCAAAGGAAGGAAGGCATGGTCGGGGTGTGGCTATTTAACTGCTTTTGTTTTCATTAGCCTTTCTCTTGTGGTCTTTAACCGTAACCAGGCACAGTTTCTGTTTGCTTTTTGAGCTCTAAATTGATGACGTCACCAAGTTTATTTAAATGATTTTTAATTTGGATCACATAATCTGATAGAGTATCATAAATTACCTGCAATTGTGCAAAATCATCCAAATGTATTTGGAACAAGCTGAGATATGTCCACATAAGCTTGTCACCATTATACCATATTTTATTTATTAAGGTCTCCAGTTGTTTGCATTGGTGGATCTAGATCATGACATTACTTTATTTTTCAAAGGGGATTTGGTCTCTGTTCCTAGCTTTTATGAATAATCTATTTATTTGTATGTTGTTCTTATTTTTTCTTATTATTGTTATCTTTATTGTTGATATTTCATGGTGTTCTCTTAGGTTCTGTGGGCAAAAGTCTATTCTCTTTAGGGCTCTATTGAGAAGGAATTGAGTTTCATTGGCGTTTCTATTCATAGAGTGCTACAATGACGCCATTTCTATCTGCACTTTTGTAAATTTCTTTCCCTATAATATGGTTGAAAGTCTATAAATCCTATTTGTCTATGAAGTCTTTCAAATACAATTGTAGCAAATCCATTTCACTTCTTAGTGTTTGTTCTTATTTGCACTTGCGTTCCTTGTACATTGCCCATTACCTATTCTGACTACTGCTTTAACTGTTATTCTGTTTGTTTTCGTTGCCACGAATGTGGCTTGCGCCATCTTAACTTTCATATCCAATGTTTTGAAGGTGGGTCTGGAACTTCCTCGTTGGAAAACAGCAAATCATTTTCCGACGGGTGTTTTCTGCCTGCTTAACTTGGAAATTCAGGTACCTGTATCCACGTACTCGGTGTTTGTACATATTCTTTGTCATCTTTGTTACGTGTTTCAAAACTCTCACAATGCCATCTCTGTAACCATACTATTGGCAAATCTGATAAATTCGAGTGATTGCTATCCTTTTTTGTCAAATTACAAAAATTCGCATAAAGACTGATTTCTCTTCTTTTTTGCAAAATTTTGCATAAAAACTCATTTCTCTCTTCTATTATAAAATTTTTCTATTGCCAAGAGTTGCAACTTTAAACTTGTCTCTTATACAACTGTCCTTGGTCTCTTTGTCCATTTCTCATTCTTCTCTCGCAATGTTCGTTCCGCATACTTCTGTAAGCTTCTGAATTTTGATTTGAATTTTTTTCTTACCTTAATCCCTTTCATCTTTCTACTTCGCCTTATTTTGAAATTATTAAAGGTTAATGAAATTCATCTCCCTGGTGCCAATCAATGCTCATAAGATCTATATGGTTTGTAGATTATAATTCATTGGCTTGTGTAAACATACATCATTTTATAATTATGAATTTAAAAATTACCTTTAGATGAAGTCGGGTGCGTTGATCCTGACAAGTGCTTCGAAATATGCGGAAGTAGAGCTGGTTGTACGAATATTGCTTATCCAAAGTTAGTTCTTGGAATAATGCCGTCAGGTAGGTTTTTCAATGGTTGGTTTTCTTGTTAAGTACCAAATTCTATTACTTAATGCTGTTTCTAAATTTTTTAGAGGGATAAAATTCTTTGATTAGGAAATCCATATTGTAGCTTCATTAGAAGGGGCCTTCTTAAGGATATGCCGTGTAAAAAATTAGTGGGTCTTCATTTTTAGGTGGGTTGGTGCGGAAAGGTTAAAAAAGGCACATTAAAATTGAATTCTCAAAATCTTGTATTCTCTTTTGAGTCCAGGAAGCTGTTTTAACATTATGCGTAATGATGTTCAGCGCGCATGCCCTGTAACTCCTAGACGAGGTTTGCTTCATTCATTGTCCACTTTTTCATGTTCGTCTCACAAACAAACATATGCATAGCTGCTGCAATTGTTGTATTGATGAGAGCTGAAAAGAGTCGACGCCTTGATAGTTTCAACTTTCAACATGTGGTTATATGCAATTTGACGACACTGTATAAAAATATTGTAGCAGGACACCGCTGTTGCTAAGAAATTGAGATTGAATCGTTTGAAGATTGCGCTCGTGCTCTTAGTGATCTATAGAGTACCGAAGTGATGACGTCATAAAAACCTATTTTTAGAATTTCTGAATTCTGATCCCAGAACCTGAAAGAGCATCGTGAAATACCTCTAAATATGCGAATTCAGTCAAAGGCATTACGATTTGGCTGATACATGGCCTCTTAAGCACAGGTTCTTGCCCCATCAAACCTCTGTAATTTGGTCTTGGCTCATAACTTCATGAACCAGGCCAGAATAACAATATTCCGTTAGCAAACTTGAGATCTTTCATTGGCCATATCTCGCCCAATTTTGAATATATCTAACTGATTTTGCATATTAAAAAGTATTTTATGCTGTTCTTTCAGATTATGTGGTCAAATTTAAGAAATTCTAAAAAAATGTTTTTTATGACGTCACACTTCGGTACTCTATTTGCATGCTTTGTAGGCAACCTCAGATAAGAATTCGGAAAGAACTTCAATTTTGTTATCAATCTGAAACATTCTTACCGGCTCAAAGGTAGAGTTGATTAGCGACGAGCTTAAGAATAACAAACATTACTGCACGTAAAGCCAGACGTGGTAAGGCCAGGCCGCCAGGGACGTTTTATAAGTGGTTCGAATAAATTTTCAAATAGTGTCAAGATAAACCTGGTTTTATTGAGCAATTTGTAAACCTTTAATAGTAGTATGGATTAATTTGGAAGTAAAACGAATATTTACTATGCGTTAAGTTGATTAATCATAGCTAAACTTACAGAGATTAAAATCTGAGCAAATAAAGCCTTCCCTCGAGCCTGCGCGCCAGACTATAGTTTAGTCAGGGGTCTGGAACCCAAGCTACCTTCCCTCTTATTTTCAAAATGGCAACCAATTCACGCTCAAATCTGAGTTGAAACGCGGTTTACGTCATCACTCAGAACCGTGAAAATAAAAAAGTAGTTAGAAAGCAGTTATATCAAATTTTTAGTTAGACAGCAAATGGATACTCTATTGGCTGTATATTCTGAAAGGGCCATAACTCTAAGATATGAAGAATCTTGTTGTTTTAAGACGCCTTCGTCTGAAAGAGTCTTTTTAGATGATACATTCCCGATTGAAAAACATTCCCGATTGAAATAAGGGGATAAATCGCGTTAAAGTGGCATAACGTGCGTTTAAGTAGGACAACATGTGCTTATATAAGACGAGATACGTTTAATTAGGACAAGATGAGAGAAGACGCTGTTAACTAGAACAATATGCGTTTAACTAGGGCAAAATGCGTTTATGATGGACGAAAACAAGAAATGTCATATAGCGACATATATTTGTTTAAACTGGACGTTTAAATTAGGCCTGATACGTTTGCAAAATTATTTGCAGGTCTACGAGGCATGATGCTGGCTGTGATGATGGCCGCCCTGATGAGCGATCTAACATCCATTTTTAATAGCGCATCAACATTGTTTACTATTGATCTTTGGGGAAGAATTAGGAGTAAAGCAAGCAATCGGGAACTTATGATTGTAGGAAGGTAAGTAAGGCTATTTCTGCTTCTCACTGTTTGTGGCCCAAATGCTTTAAATTATTGTGGTACAATATCTGTTTTGATTGTTTTGGACAGTCCGTTTAAGGTCCATTTTTGCCAATGGCTACAAGGCCGAACAAATAGCAGCATGTGGAATAGGTTTTGAATAAAATATTAGGAGTTGGTTAACTGTCTGAAACAATGGCGAGTCGGTCACAAATTCAAAATCTCAACATTGGTTTCTTGTTTGTAGAGAAGCTGCAATGTGACGTAGTATTGAAGGAGCCAAAATCCCTGTTGTTTCTGTTGTTTCTCCTTCTCAAGGTCCTTCATCCTATCCCCTAACTGCAATAAAACCAATTTCAAATGTTGAGAATTGATTCTTTCTGTCTTGCAAGAGACATTTGTCAAATAGGAATTGTTCTTATTTCTTAAATTTCAGTGTATCGCAAAGTTAAAGAAAATTTTTTGGTCTCTGGCTCCCACACCTATCACCATATGGCAGTGCTTCATTTGAAGCATCTGTCATTTTGCACGCTTTCTCGACTCAATAATTGTAACAAAACCAATACAAACAGTAATAGGAACAATAATTATCTTTTTTCAACAGTATTTTCTAGATTGTTATCGCTCATCGTATATGATGAATTATATCTACTAAAAATTATTCCTTTCTTCTAGGCTTTTTGTCTTGATCATGTGCATAATCGGAGTATGCTGGGTGCCAATTCTTACTGAGTTCCAGGGTGGTCAACTATTCATATACATAATTTCAATTAGTGCGTATCTGTCGCCTCCAGTGGCTGCGGTTTATTTGATCGCTATCTTATGGAAACGAAGCAACGAACAGGTAAGAATTAGCTGAATCTCATACTTTCTCCCTGCTTTTAAGCTGTACCTAAAAAGATTTGCATAACGAGCTAAAAATAGTTACTGGTTCATAATTTTGCAAAATTCTTAAGCAAATGTCATTATTCTGTAAACTTTGTTTACATTTTAAATCCAAGTGATCCAAGCTGTGGCAATTCCAAATGAAAAACATACCGAAACATTTACTGCCGACACAACGACTCTTCATAGTTTCTCAGGCTTTCACATACAAATTCCAATTCCAGAAAAATTGTGATTTATCTCGCCTCATTGCAAAATGTTGCTAGGGCTTCTGATTGCATAAATAGCCAACAGGTAAACAAGTCATTCGATGTTGTCTTATATCTTAAGAAAAGTAAATTTTTTGTGGCACAAAATTTGAAAATGGCTTTTAAAAAAGCAAACATTTTAGAATATACTTAAGCTTTTCGTCTGACACTTTTCAGAGTAAAAAACGTCAGAACATCGATCAAAACAGTTTTGAAATCTATCTACACAAGCATGAAAAACTGCTATTGTGTTGACAGAAAGAGTTCATTCTTATCTTAGGACTCCATTGATAACATTCTCAATAGGCAAGCGGCACTGATTGGTCAACCTCATCAGTCATGTGCTCGCGTTTCTGATTGGCCTATTTTGATCCACAACTGGGTATATATTTCCTAGTGTAGAGTTTCGATCTATGTTCTGACGTTTTATACTTTGAAGAGGTTCAGACGAAAAGCCAAAGTATGTGCTAAAATGTTTGCTTTTTCAAAGCCATTTTACAAATAACTTTTTCTGATAATCCTTTACTTTTCTTGGCTAGTTCGGTGACGGGTGTCAACGGAAAATATTTTTGCACCCTGTCCCATAGAAAATGTGTCACACAAGCATAACCTGTACCGTAAAAAATGGGCCAAAAATTTGGCAAAATTGTGCCATGGTAACCAATCCCATAATACTTACCTGGAACATGCACTTTCTAAGAAAACACTAAACACCAGAGTTGGCTGCTCAAATATTTCTTGTTTATTAATTTTCTTATTTTTGATACCCTACCCCAGACTTTTGATGCAAATCACAACAACCTGCTGCATAATTTTTAATTGGAAAGGATACCCTGTTCTGTGGCACATCCTGTTTGGTTAAGTGTTTGACTGCTGCCTGGGCTCCCGGAAAACTGTAAATTTTTCTATTTAAGAAAATTCTTGTCTCTCATATATTTTGCCATCGATGTCAACTTCTGCTTTTCAACTTCTACTTCGTTTTAGGGTACATTTTGGGGACTCGTGTCCGGATTCGGTTGTGGCATCATCAGAATGACTCTGGATTTCGTTTATCGTAAACCAAAATGTGGAGAGACTGATCTTAGGCCAAGTGTATTGAAGGATTTGCATTTCATGTACTTTGCACTGATGGTGTTCGTCATTACAACGATCGTTTGTGTCGTCATTAGCCTTATCACAAAGCCTGGTGACCCAGAGAAGGTTTGACCAAAAATTAACTCTTCTCCCATACACTCATTTTTTATAACAAACTAAGTTCGGGATTAGCGCGCAGTCTCTAGATTGTGTTGTGGACTTCAGTGCTAAAGGTCTGTTTAAGACTTGCTGAAGAGCTACTTTTTAGGGATCTTTTAAGGGTCTCTTTAATAATAAATGCTGAAGAGCTACTTTTTAGGAACGCAAAAAATGTCAATTTAATAGGGAATAAGTGCCCCAAACTTCCATTCCATCTTTAAGGATAAATTTTTTCGTGCAGTTTTGTAAAATTTAACTCCGCTTTAGAAGCTTGGTTTCTTATTGACGGATCTCTACAGAAAATGACTGGATGTGAAATATTTGTCTAACATCTACACAATCTTCAGTTTGTTCTATGTAGTTTTTTATTTTTACCCTTTTTTGACATGATCTTTGAAAAGAAATAACGCTTAATTAGTGAATACTACTGTGCTGATACCAATCGGATATTTTTGGGACAGGGAGTTGAAGCCTCTAGAGTTGATGTTTCATTTTTCGTCACGCTAGACAGATAATCCGGCGAATAGATCGCCGAAGGTTTCCAAACATTGGCTATTCCTTTTTCATTTCTTTTTCTTAAAGACTATCCGCACGACATTTTGGACAAGAAACGACCCGACAATTCGCTCTGACGAAATTGAGGAACAAATCCAAATTCAAGCAGCCGACTGTGAGGAGCAAAAGAAACAGAACCGACAAAACGATCCTAGTGATGTCACATCAAGCACAGCATGGATAAAGGACCACGAGACGGTGCAATTTCAGCAATCAGGTAAGTGCTAGAGAACATCGACCAAGTTAAGAATCAAACTAGGGGAAAGAGGGGTTTCTTTAAAGCCAAAGGGGTCACATAGACTTAAATAATACGGGGGAGGGTTAATACTTTATGTTCACTTTTTATAGCCTTAATATTATTAAATGTTGTAAATTAGGTTTGGTTGGTAAATTTATTTTGTTATTAGTATTATAACATAATTATTAGCGCTTATTTTAATTTTTTAAACAGGTCAGGTTGAAAAACATAGATGTATGAACCTTTAACCTGTATAAATATTATAAAATGAAAATGAAATGAAATACGGGGTGGATAAGTATGGGTAAGAATTTTCTTCACAATCCGATACTATTGAGTACTTGATAAGAATATAACTTTCTGTAGTTGAGAGTTCAACAAACGCATACCAAAGTCAATTGCATAACAAACAATAATAACAAAGATTTTCCATCAGTTTCTACATAGAATGCGCAAATTGGATCTTCATGCTATTCTGTATCTAACTCCAAAGATATGTTGTCATGAAACAATTTTTTTCACAGAAACCAAATTGAATCATTTTGAATTGTTTTAACGGAAACCATAGCCTTTAGTACAGTTTCTCATACTGTATGATTAAGATATGAACATGTACATAGGGAAGATCAATGCATGAATTAACAACAATTTGGAATCCGTCATAGGTGGAATCAAAGCTGTCATGCCTGTGTGGAAAAAGATTTGCTACTTCGTCTGCGGAATGTCTTCTGATGCGGAAGAAATTAAAAGAACGCACGAGGAGCAAAAAGAATATCTGAAGGAACTGACGTCTCTCAAGCAAAACCCCCGTGCAAGACTTACTCTTCTTGTCAATTTAGTAGTGGTTTGTGCAGTTGCCCTATTTCTTTTCATTTTCTTCTCGGTGCCTGACGGAGGACCAACAGCTCCAACTATCACTTATGGGAAGAATTTAACAAGTTTTACAAGTTGATATAGATATGGTCAATTTAGATTACTTTTTAACGATGGGTGTAAAGATTTTATATCACATAATATTTCATATAAAGAATCGGTGCAATTTCAAACATTGCTGTTGTTGTTGTGTTGTTACCAGATGATGGTAGAACTGCCAAAAATTCAAACTAGCATAACTAAAATGCTAGTTTGAATTTTTGTTCCCGAGATTGTAATTTTGTAACGCCGTGTTTCTTCCAGTAAAGCTGCTTCAATTCAGCTAATAATTAAAACTTTACTGAGTTTCTATCAAATATCAATTTTCACCAAGTTGTTAGACAACTGTTGTAAAGAAAAAAGCCAAATAAATAAATCTGATGGAAAATCATCCTCTTGCCAGTGCCGCTGCATAAGGTTAGCATAAAGTACTTTGTTGATCAAATTCCCGAACCATTTATGAATTTTTGTCATGACTATAGAAGTGAAGGGCAAAGGATAGGTTCTTTAGGAGTGAGGGTTTCAGGGGGCATACTGGGAATAAGATTGTTTGAATGCTGTAGAAGTTTAAGCTATTTTACCCCCGGGCTCTAATGTTTTTTTCTCATCTCATTCAGACGTTACAGAAGTAGAAAAAGGCTTACAGATTCTTTAATTCTTTGCACGTTTCATAACAGCAAATATCGCTTAACATTGATCAATACTGTTTACTATATCAAATAAGAGAATACGATACTTGTTAGAGTATATTTTTATCCAATTTATTAACCAGTAAAATGTTCTTGCTTTTTGGTTAACAGTGAAGAAAATACTTGAAAGTTATTTATTTTGTGGTCGACTTTAATGTATGGCACTGATAACTCATTTGTAGAGTTTCAAATAATGTTTACTAGTACAGTAATGAATGGTAAGAGAAAACGAATTCAAAAAGAAAAAAAATAGCAAGAACAAAAAATAGTGATTGACAACTTAAGATGCAATAAGATGCATTGAATTTTGGAAAACAACAATATTTTTATTTTGCTTCTTGTTCAGCGTTCTAGAATGCTTTTCGTAGAATACCACTTTCACTCTATAGCATCTGGCTATCAGACTGTAATCGGTTAAAAGGCCTAGCCATTCGTTTATTTCAGGGTCTGTAGGATTTTATCCTTACACATTTCAGAAGGTTTCATGTACTTTTAGTACGTTAACTAGCAAAAATCAAGATTTTGAATTTTTAACACACAGGCTAGATATGCTGAAAATAGGTTTTATTCGAAGCTAAACAACAGCAATTTTAATGTGATAAGAGCGGGAAAAAATTACTGCTTGCTTTTAGTAAAATCAGTTTTCAGCTAAAATGTCGTTTAGACCGGCATTATTTCTCTGGCATTCTAATTCGGTTTCAATCTTTGCAAAGGGCTTGCAAATATAAGCAGAACTGCACAGGAGTCTTGATTGCTTCATCCAAGGTGCCTGCAGCTCCAACTCTTAATCTCTCTCATAAATAATTTTAAACAATGAATTCTGACTATGCGTCATGTTTCGTCCCCAGTCCTCAGTGATCAATAAGAGCCTTCGATTATCCTAAGTCTTGTCATAGATGGCGAGCTAGACTTTGGATCTTCTGCTATTTCCACGACGCTAGTGAGATATTTGGAGGCACTGGAAGATCCCCTATGGTTGTACGTTACTGTACTTTTCTGCGACCTGAATTCGGACAACAAGGATCTCTGTGAAATCATTCTACTTACTCTTTTTCTTGCTGCGGATCGAATTCTGGTGTTCTGCAGGCAGTAAATTATTGGAGCAACTAGGCCATCTATCATTGTTAAAAACTTCATTGCATAATTGAGTTTCTTTTCTTCTTGGGAATCCTCAAATGAGGGGCTAAAACATTGGCGACACAGTTTCTTTGTCAGATAATAGCCAAATGATGGCCCCCAACAAATAATGTAGCTGATAGAAATTAAAACGGCCACTTTTGCAGCTGCCAGCTCCAACTTTAACAGCAATCTCCGCTTTCGTTTATGTGAGCAGGACCTTGCTTCTTCTTTCTCCTGGCAATTCCGTCTTTTTCGGCGATTTTTGACGAATTTGTGAGACTTGTAGCATATATAACAGTACAGAATAATTATTATCACGAATGGTAGGCCAGTGTTAATCAAAAGCATAAGAACGGTCCAAATGTTACTAGGAATGTAATAACATTTCTCACTTCGCTGAGCAAAAGGTATGGAGCACAGGCTGGTTGAGTAGATCCAGGAAAAGGCGATGACTTTCATTGCAGCTGCAGGCGTTGCGTGTACGCGATATTTTAAGGGCGAATAGATAGCGATGAATCTGTCCACTGCCAAGATTAACACGGTGGTCACCGAAACGTAATTAGTTAGTAGGTACGAGTAGAGAAAAAATGTGCAAATAAAGGCGCTGGCCTCTTTGTCGGTCATTTCCCATTGTTTCACCGTGTACAGTGGGATAACGAACACTCCCTGGAGAATGTGTGCAACGAGCAAGTTCGCTATCAAGAGAGTTGATGCACGCTTTTCTGTACTGCTCACGCATAAAATAAACAGACAAACACCATTGATGCTTATCACAGCGACAGAAAGGAAGATAAGACTGGCAACAATTGCAACGTCGACCATGATACTGTTTACTTCTCCGCACGTGTCGTACAACAAACGATGTTACATATATTCCCTTTCCTCCGTCCTGAAAAAACCTGATGTTCGATGTCTTCAGTTCGAAAACCGGAAGGTGAGCGACTTTTTATCTGCTATTTATAATCCTCATTTAATCTTGAGCTCTTGAGCTGAAATTCTTTCTATCCAAAGCAAGATGATGATTGGCGAAACTGGGATGTAAGAGAAGAAACAGTCAAAGGAAAGCCAGCAGAAAACTTAATACAACTGCTAACAAAGTTTTCTTTTATGCAAATATTATCTGAATCTACGGGTCAACTGAGACAAACAATGACGAAAGTGTCGAGGTGTTTGGATAGTATAATTACAACGGCCTACATTCAAATAATGAAGTGTCGCCAGAATAAAACTGAACTATAACCGATGGACGGAAAACAAACACAACCGGTGCACCTAGGCACCATAGCTACAATCTTTGCCAAAAACAGTTTAAACGCCTTCCTCTGACGACATGTAAACAGACAAAGACTAAAACTCTCTTATCAATAATTCCCCGCACCATGTTGATTTATTGTCTAAATGCCTTCGTACAGCTTTCAGTGTAAATCTTTAACCTCCAGCCACAAAACCGTAAAATTGAACGACATTGAAGGGGAGATTTTTTAGAAAAAGCTTTTGCTCTGTGCAAATGGCAAGGACCATTGCTGGGGAACATAACACGTGTGGTACCTCTAGGGACCATACTACGAGTGGTGAGTCTAGGGACCATTATACGAGAGGTGAATCTAGGGACAATTATACGAGTGGTGCATCTAGGGGTCATACTGTGAGTGGTGCATCTAGGGGTCATACTACGAGTGGTGCATCTAGGGGTCATACTACGAGTGGTGCATCTAGGGATCATACTACGAGTGGTGCATCTAGAGACCATACTACGAGTGGTGCATCTAGGGACCATTATACGAGTGGTGCATCTAAGAATCATACTACGAGTGGTGCATCTTAACACAATACTACGAGTGGTGCATCTAAGGATCATACTACGAGTGGTGCATCTAGAGACCATACTACGAGTGGTGCATCTAGAGACCATACTACGAGTGGTGCATCTAAGAATCATACTACGAGTGGTGCATCTAAACACCATACTACGAGTGGTGCATCTAAGGATCATACTACGAGTGGTGCATCTAAAGACCATACTACGAGTGGTGCATCTAGAGACCATACTACGAGTGGTGCATCTAGAGACCATACTACGAGTGGTGCATCTAGAGACCATACTACGAGTGGTGCATCTAGGGACCATTATACGAGTGGTGCATCTAAGGATCATACTACGAGTGGTGCATCTAGAGACCATACTACGAGTGGTGCATCTAGAGACCATACTACGAGTGGTGCATCTAAGAATCATACTACGAGTGGTGCATCTAAAGACCATACTACGAGTGGTGCATCTAAGGATCATACTACGAGTGGTGCATCTAAAGACCATACTACGAGTGGTGCATCTAGAGACCATACTACGAGTGGTGCATCTAGAGACCATACTACGAGTGGTGCATCTAGGGATCATACTACGAGTGGTGCATCTAGAGACCATACTACGAGTGGTGCATCTAGAGACCATACTACGAGTGGTGCATCTAAGAATCATACTACGAGTGGTGCATCTAAACACCATACTACGAGTGGTGCATCTAAGGATCATACTACGAGTGGTGCATCTAAAGACCATACTACGAGTGGTGCATCTAGAGACCATACTACGAGTGGTGCATCTAGAGACCATACTACGAGTGGTGCATCTAGGGACCATTATACGAGTGGTGCATCTAAGGATCATACTACGAGTGGTGCATCTAGGGGTCATACTGTGAGTGTTGCATCTAGGGATCATACTATGAGTGGTGCATCTAGGGGTCATACTATCAATGGTGCATCTAGGAATTATACTACGAGTGGTACATCTAGGGACCATTATACGAGTGGTGCATCTAAGGATCATACTACGAGTGGTGCATCTAAGGACCATACTACGAGTGGTGCATCTAGGGATCATACTACGAATGGTGCATCTAAAGACCATACTACGAGTGGTACATCTAGGGACCATTATACGAGTGGTGCATCTAAAGACCATACTACGAGTGGTGCATCTAGGGATCATACTACGAGTGGTGCATCTAGGGACAATTATACGAGTGGTGCATCTAGGTACCATAATAAGAGTATCAATATTTATTTTTCGTTTTTCGAAACTTGCTTGCGAGAGCGACCGCTTTGTCCTTTGAAAGAGCCACACCTCTGGAGAGGATTAATTGAAAGTACAAATGCCATTGATATTTGCTGCTCGATTTTCAACCAAAGTAGGCAGAATTGAGCGGAATGTTTTCTTAGGAATCTGTTCTTTAAGCTTACTTTGCTTTGAATTTTTGTTACAATAAAACTGACGTTATAGAAGTTATTCGATACTGTTTGGATTGTTCGCTTGGCCGCAGATACTCAACTTAAAAGATGCACCGTCACAAAGATAAATTTGCCGCTTAAAGAGGAAATGAAAAATGCAGCCAGCCGTGAAGGTTTTCATGGGGAAATTTAATGGGAAGGAGGCGAATAACACAAATGACAGATAAATTCTCTCATAAATGTCCTAGATAGCCTCTCCGATATGAAGTCCTTTCGTAGAAGTCACGTATGGAATTTGAGCTTGTCAAAATTGGATTAAAAATGGAAAAATATTGAAACAATTTTGAATCGACAATTAACAAATAGCTTCTAAAAGAGGAACGGAAACCAGGTGTAGATAGAAACGATAAGAAAACAAACGGAACTTGTTTGGTTCCAAGAAAACCATGTTATTTTTGGAAATTGTGAGCTAGTATTGTCAATTCATTTATAGCCATTGACCGAATAGCGTTCCCCGGTAGACACAAAGGATTTTCGGCTTTGGTGTTACTATTTCAGCTATAACCCTAGAAATTATCTAGCAATATAGCATCGTATACGTTTATATTATAAGAAAGTGAAATTTCTACTAATAAGAAAGAATTAGACTCGGTCTTCAAAAAGTTAAAAAAGTTTTTTACTGGATTTTGGAAACAAAGTTTTAGAACTTAATGCTCAAAATTTCTAGGAGAAATTATCTTGCAGGCGCGAAATATTTAGTGTTTTCAAAGGTTTGAGCGGGGGCAGATTTTGTAACAACAGGCAATTCGGTTTGTTTACATATGCATATGACATAATCTCGGTTGACTAGCCAATCTCAAGTTTTGCGAAGACAGTCTTAAGAAAATTTTGGGAAACAGCGAAGAAATTTCGAGTAATGTGCTGAGAATCGTGTATGTTCTGTCCTTGACATCCTGTCATCTTATGAGTTTCTTTGTCATCTTATGAGTTTCTTTATCATCTTATGAGTTTCTTTGTCATCTTATGAATTTTATATAACTAAAATGTTATTCGTTTGTCTTTCATACTGCTTCTTTTCGAAACACAGTTCGCTAAACCAGGTATATTGTCCTTTAGAATGTTGTATGGGATGATCGATAGCATGCTGGTGCTATTTTATCGTATTCTCTAAAAATAATGTCCCTCTTTTCTCATAAGATGAATATCGCTGTTACAATGATTAGCACCAATACTGTATTTTATCGTAGTATTATTAGAATCTTTGCTATATTCCAAATCTTGACAGGTTATCACGTGACCACGCCAGTTGCCCCCTCATGTAAACAGGTGCTTTGATCATTTCGGAAAGCCGACTGTGCAAGGGACTTTGGCCTTGCCTAACTTGTTGCCATCTTTGTTCGTTTGACTTTTATCAGTTGTCTGAACTTACAATTTTATAAGAACACGAGCCTCAAAATTGGCCAAAAGTTAAGAACAAATTAAGAACAAGCTGAGGCTGATCTTCTACAAAATGCAATTTTGAACAACGTTTTATCTCAAAAACAAGGACTTTTAGCCATGTGTGGGTGCCTTTATTGATCTATATAGGTCTGACGAATTCAATCCTGAGGTTGTGAATCATCGATCACCAGACCCACTCGTTAAGCACGGTTTGTTGTCAAAAGGCTCCTTAGAAGGCCTGGGTTACGTCGTCTTATCTTATCGCCGAAGCATAAAAGTTATATGGAAACCAGGCTTAAAAGGAAGTTTCACTTGGACGAAACAGCTATTTTGACATCCAATTTCGTGTTTACACTGTCCATATTCCAGCAATCCATTTAATCGAATCCATTTAAGTGCATAGTGTATTTCAGCCTTTTTTCTGACGATTCAAGCAAAACATTCCCCTACTTTCGAAAAATTCCTCTACTTTCGACGTAAAATAAAAACAAAACAAAGTGCAAAAACCAACTGCAGACTATGAAAAAACAGTGTAGCAGGTATCCAAAAAATGAATAAACGTCTGTTTGGGCAAAAAACCCAAGATTTAAAAAAGTTATTAAAGGAAAACTGAAGAGCGGTTTTGGGAAAATTTCATTTTTGCCAACATTCGAGGGGCTGGAAATGTTTTTGAAACATCTTTAACATTTTTTGAACTATAAAAAACAGTGTAGCAAATTGTGTTCTATCGACTAAACTTTAAATGGTATTTTTACCTTTTTCTGCGAAAAGTTATTAAAGGAAAACCAGAGGGCTGTTTTCACAAATTGCACACTTTTGTCAAAGTTTCGGAGACTTTACCCTGGGTACCAGACTCACTATATAAAATAATAGAGAGTCTGGTCTAGTGCGCCCCATTCTCGTTCTGGTGAACTTACTTGAAAGAACTGAAGTTTATTTAACAGACTAGGCCTGTGAAACAAGACTGTCAGATAAATAACAAAGAAACTCAGTAGTCAGAGGAGCTTTGGGAAATCTTAAAGCAAATGTGTTTTATTTAGTTCTTTGAAGTTGACATTTTTAATACAGTGGTAATAGACTTTTCTGCCTGAAGATAACAATCAAACCAGGTTTAAAACGCCATTTGGCAGCAAAAAACATGTGCGAAGCATGAAATTAAAGTTAGCACAATGCAGTTCTTAAATGTTAATCCTTATCAAATTTCGTATACAACTTAAAATAAGTCTTTTGTAATTTTCCTCATAAATTGTGTATACTTTCAACGTCTACTTCCTCACTGTGAAGGCACCGCGCTTGGACACCGCGGCGGTTAGAATCATCACGTTGGAAGGTCACCACAGCAAATATGGGCAATACGACAAGCGATCCCCGTATGCCGGGCGAAATATTAGCTATAACTGATTTACTGTGTTTGTTGTTGTTTGTTCTCGGCGCCTTGCGGTGTTCCTTATCTACTGCATTTCACTACAAGGCCTAATTTCTTTGCAACGAGAGGCACAGCCTGAAATATCAGAGACTTTCCAAAGCTAGTTGGCAATATGGCGAAGGTGTCTCTTCTCTCTACAAACAAGGCTTTCAATGCTGTTCTGTGTTCAGTTCCACAACATGCGAAAAATATTCTTTGAGTACAGTTTTAACAGCATCTTCAAACTCAATCGCTATGGTCGCTAGCATTTATTTATGTTCTGTTCTGTTCAATGTTTTACACCGGAGCTAAGTTTATTGTTTCGCTGTGACCTTTGAACGTACAGGAATCTGTACACTCGCTCCTGATTGGTTAATATCAGCACATCAGAACGAGAATGGGGCGCACTAGACCAGACTCTCTATTTTATTTCATATATAGTGAGTCTGGTACCCAGGGTACGGAGACTTTTACATTAACTGGAATTTTTATTTAACTACGAAAATATAAAAAAACAGTGAAACTATGGTATTTGTGATGTTTAAAAATCAAATCAGTCCTACAGAATCTGACCGTGTAAAAGGAGAAATCGAATGTCGAAAGCCATCATCAGATTGTCGAATTCGATTTTTCAAGAATCGAACGTGTTCTATTCCATTTGACAAATCGACAGGTGAATGAATGACATTCTTGCTCGCCCACGCTGCTACGTCATCCGAATTACCATGTTCTGTATTGTTTCAGTCGGTTGGCAATCATTTTAAAGAAAAAATGGAGTGAACGCAGCCAAAGTTCAACAAAAAGGAAGAAACAGAATTATTCATTGCTAAATACTCATGTTGTCCTTCATGTAGTCCTTTCCTTCGGTGAAGCGCAACTCGTTCAAATGTGTATCGTATGTTCCAAATACAGGACGTCGATTCAGCTATTCTTTTGTCCATTTTGTTCGTTTTCGCCTCTTATTTCTTCGTTTTTTAATACTAGCAAGGACCGAGATATAGGGGGGGGGCGGGGGGCCCTGGCCTCCCCAAAAATTTTAGTACCATAAGTAAAACACTTTTGTATCACTATTTAGTACTTTGAGAAATAGTTGAGATTCAAGTTCATTTTTACCCACTAAACAAGCTTGACCCTATCTAAGCAGGTCCTCCTTTAGTGTAATTGTCAACACGTATTACTTGGCCGTCCTGCATGAACGTCCGTACTAAAGTTTTCTTGTTGTTGCTTTTCACCGTGTTTTGGCGGGAAATCATTTCCCTTTCCAAATCGTTGCCTAAATGGCCACCACGTCAAAGTTAGGGAAAGGACCTTTGAACTATTTTTTCGAAAAGCAGCGAGAAAGAACTGCCTTTTCCAGCAAGTTATCTACTAATCAAGATAGCAATGGACTGAACGAATCTAGTAAGGATCAGGATGATGGGAATATAATTGCAGTTTCTATACGCAATAGCGTCTTAGGCCTTGGCCTAGTGAACGAGAAAAATGAGAAACATCAAACTTGAGTTGATGGTTACATACAAGGAAAATCAAAACATAACGATACTTTCTCCTTTCGGGAAATAGGAGAACGAGCAAATCAACCAGGCACAGATTATGTTTTCCCAAAATGTAGCATTGCAGGTCGCCAAAGGTCTTTTCAACACTCCCGGTTTCAAAAATTTTACTGAGCACAAAGATCTTGCCTATTGCCAAATCTGTGTAACTGCTTGCAAAGAAAGAAAAATTCATGCTCCATATACAGAACTGGTTTTCATAAAGACTGGTTTCAAGAGCTGAAAAAAGGCTTTAGAAAAGTTCAAAAGTCATTCAACAAGTGCATGTCACAGGGATGCTACCCAAGTCACCCTTGTGCTTCCAAATCAGACAACTAATATTGCAGAACATTTAGAAAGATCATTGACCGCTGAGAAACAGAAGAGTCGCGGATGTTATTTGAAGACAGTGACCACGTTAAGAATGATGGGCAGACAAGGATTGCTTCTTCAAGGATTGACTGAAGAAGAATCAAATTTCTATCAGATTTTAAAACTGAGAGGTGAAGATGATCTAGAAATAAAGGAAAACATGACCAAAACCAGAAACAAATATTCAGCATGTTATATATATTCAGCAGGGATCCCCCCGGACAG